ATTTTGAAAAATGTAACAACATTAATACAGTTATTTTAAACAAACAATTTTATTAAGGTAAAAAATGTGATTACTAACTTTACAGAAGTTATTTGAACAGTTGTGTAGCTGAAATTTTCATACGTGAAAAGCAAAGATCAGATTACTGAAACTGTATGATTATTACAAGATTTTTGTATTCAGAAATTCAACAACAGCTATTAATGTTTCTTTGTCACTTTCAATAAGCTCATTTTGTATGGCTTACTTGAGCATGTATTTCCAAGCATGATACTCAAAGTTGTAACTAGAACTGTATTGTAACCCTGTTGAAATATTTTATTTTTGATGATGCAAGTGATGAAAATTTTAGTTTAAATTTTAATTAAATTTACATTCATTATGGCATGCAGACTAACTGCTTAATTTGTGTGTTTTCCTTTCATCACGCATGCCTGTTGTGACTCCAGTAGCAACCCGTAAGTAATAATTGTATCTGTGTTTTCATAACCTTTGTTTTCTTATTTTTGTATCCCTTATCTGAAGAGTTATCATTTTTTATTACTTGTTTCAAATAAAAATTAAAATCAAGGGTAAATTGGTATTTTAGGGAATAAATTAACCAGTAATTATGTTTTTTAATTTTTTAGCACAATATTTGAACTTTCTATATACCAGTACACTGTTTCTTGTATATGTTTTTAAGGTTTGTTTTTCTGTTGATTTTGGTCAAATAAAATATTAATGAAAACAGTTAGGTGAAATTTCCTGGATAACACAACTGTACACATGACCAATCTTATGTAAAAATTAGGCAGTCTCGTCAGAGTTACAGAATCAGTGAAGTATTTAGTTTTTTAAAACACAGTTTTAACCGTAATGAAACTTCCTTAGATTTTCATAACTCAAGAATTAAGCAACACTCACACACACACACACACACACACACACACACACACACATACATGCTGATTGTTATTGCAAGGAAAAGATGAGCATGGCAGTTTTCTCGGCATTCTAATAATATACAGGCAGTTTTTTGACAACAATTCGACTTGGCAGTTTTCTCGGCATTCTAATAATATACAGGCAGTTTTTTGACAACAGTCGACATGGCAATTTCTCAGCATTCTAATAATATACAGGCAGTTTTTTGACAACAATCGACTTGGCAGTTTTCTCGGCATTCTAATAATATACAGGCAGTTTTTTGACAACAGTCGACATGGCAATTTCTCAGCATTCTACTAACATACAGGCAGTTTTTTGACAACAGTCGACATGGCAATTTCTCAGCATTCTACTAACATACAGGCAGTTTTTTGACAACAGTCGACATGGCAACTT